TTTGAGACCATTCTTCTTTCATTGCAACCTCCAATTCTGTTGCATTTTTTGGATAATTTTCTCATTTTTTCAGTCTCCGTTCCAATTCACTCCATAAATGCTCAATTGGATTAAGATCGGGTGATTGAGATGGCCAATCAGACAATACATTTCTTTTCTTTTCTTTTATCCAATTTTGTACTGAAGCACTAATCTGGGAATTAATGCTTCAAGCTGGTCCCGTTGGTAAGTTTTCCTTTACCTCCTCTTCCTCCCTTCTCCTCCTCCCTACAAATAAATTTATTTACCAAACTACCTTTTTGTCTTTTCTTCTTAGTTAATGTTCATTTACCAAAAGATCGTGTTACTCAAACACATCAAAATTATGGATTTTGCGAGTATATGAGTGAAGATGATGCTGATTATGCAATAAAAATAATGAATCAAATCAAATTATATGGGAAACCAATACGTGTTAACAAAGTATGTAGTAATAAATGATTCTATTATTTATTAGTCTTATCGCTATTAATCAATAACATTTATCTATGTATCTGTCTATTTATTTATATTAGGCAACATCAGACAAAAAAAATTTAGATGTTGGTGCTTCATTATTTATAGGGAATTTGGATCCAGATGTAGATGAAAAAATGTTATATGATACTTTCAGTTCTTTTGGTGTCATAGTGCAAACTCCAAAGGTAAATGATGAGATGATGATGATGATAACGATGATGATGATAACAATTAATTAATATAATTTGTTTTGTGAATAATTAATTAATTTAATTAGATCGCTAGAGATCCTGATACTGGAAATAGTAAAGGGTACGGCTTCATTTCATATGACAATTTTGATTCATCGGATGCTGCAATTGATGCTATGAATGGCCAATATTTGATGAATAAACCAATTACTGTTTCATATGCATTCAAAAAGGATGGTAAAGGCGAACGTCATGGGAGTGCAGCTGGTAACTATAATTATTATTAAAATATATACACAAACACATATACATCCAAACATACATTAATCCATTTTTATTTATTTGTATTTATAGAAAGATTATTGGCAGCACAAGCAAAGAAAAATCAAAGTTTGCCAAATCGTTTATTTGCTGATATTCATCCTGTTACTCAAGTACTACAACCATCACTTAATAAATTTATATAGGCATTTAAAAATACTAAACCCTAAAATATTTATTTTCCTAAAAAATTTATAAATAAATGGTATCACAAATCTAATATCAAAGGATCATAAACAAATGCTTCTTCAAGAAGCATAAGCAATATGTCTTTATTTTTTTCATAACACCAAGTACATTTTCACATGCAATCCTAAAGACTCCAATAACATCAAGTGTTGCCACAATATTTGGAAAGGAACCATTTCTGGGATTCTTAATTTTCTTCCCTTCTCAAAACACCAATGTAAATTAAATTAATCAATTGAGCTTCACAATAAATTATTTATTATCTTAATATTATAATATTATAATCCAATTATACAACTAATTATTTATTGACTTCATATAAATATGTCCAACAACTAAAGTTAAAATTGCCACAGATCTAATGACAAAAAGATTAATGAATTTGTTATAATAAGGATTAACAGGAAAATGTGATGGTTGTTTTGGTAGTGATTCTGACACAATAAATTTATCAACCCAGCTATAAGATTCCACGTCAAAAATATATAAATGTTTATTGTATTTTTTAGTTTTGATTTTAGAACTTATATAACCTAAATAATTTAAATATAAAGATATATTAATTTAACTAAGTTTAATTATAAATTAAATCCATAAATAATATATGGATAGCTTGTTAATATACCAAATGCAACTATCATATATTTGTCAGTTGAGGTTGCACTGTGTCCATAAAGCAATGGAGGTGTATCAGCATTATTTGAAATTTTTGGTGTTGACCATTCACAAGAGGCATGTGCAGTATTTAATACTGCTAAATGAGGATATGGAAATTTATGATGATTATGATTATGATAATTATAACCACCAAATATAATTATAGAATCATTTGGTCCTATATTTAATATTAATTGTCAATATATAAATATATAATATTTAATGTATTTTTTAAAAAGTCATGAAATTCTCACCCAAGACTGCAGAATGATATTCACGAAAACCAATATCTTGACCTCTAGTGCTCTAATATCAATACCAATATCAACAATTAATTAATATTTGATTCTCAACAACAAAATAATTTTTTTCTTAACTTACAAATAAAGACCATTTATTAATTTTTGTATCATAAACATTTATCTAAAAAAAATAATCAAATTATTAACTAGTAAAAAATTAAAATATACAAAATTCAACATTAAACAAAATAATCAATACCAGATTTGTTGGTATACATTCAGAATCATTGCATCCTCCAATATATACAATTAAACCATTAGATAACATAGTAGAAGTGTATCCATGTCTATATGATGGTGCATTTTCTATTGAGCCTGTTGACCAAATCATATTAACTGTATCTAATATGTGCATAATATTGTTAGTTGGAATAAATTGGGTATATCCACTAAAAATATAAGCAGTTCCTTTATTATCCGAAACACATTGAGTATTTATTCGCCAATCAAAAGGTTCTTCAGTATAAGGTAAAAGCCATATATCATATTCATGGTTATATTCAATAAGTGGATTTTCTCTCTCTGGATTATGATCATTTTTGTAAGTTCCTCCAATGAATATAAATGAGTTTCTGGCTGTTTTACACACAGAACTATGCATTAGTTCAACATTTGCGTTTGATCTTTCTATCCATTTAGGTGTTCTCCTGCTAAATGACTCTCCTAGATCTAAATAAAAGGCCTCACTGCCTACTGAATAGTCCTCCTTGTAACCACCAAAAAAATAAAGCTTCGTATCATTACTAATTGAAGTGTGAAAACAACGTGTTTTGGGAGAATAAGATTTGACAAGTGTAATATATATTAAAAAAATTATAATAGTGGAATAAACGTTAAACATTATTATTGTCATTATTATTAATTAAAAAATTTAGAAATAGGGGCGAGACGCCCTAATTACATAATGTCGATCAATAATGAATTAACGCAAATAAAAAATTGCGTTTTCATATTCTATTTCCAAATATGGAAATCGAATTAGGAAAAATTGGAACACTTTTGTCAATCAATTTATATA